GCAGGAATTAAAACTAAGGAAGTATGGTTAGGTATATATTTGCATACAGAATATTATTTCCATAATAAGGCTAGAATAAAACTCCACAACCCTTTTAAATGACTTCTCAATAATAAGCTTTTGATTATAACTTATTTTGATCACAAAATAAGTTAATTCAGGCATAAAAACCAATCCCTTGCTTTATTATGCAGTAAGAATACATAGAAAAGTATATCTAATGTATTATTATTTTTGTTACATAATAAGTATTTGTCTTAAGGTATTCTACATTAATCAAGAGAAATTAATAAATAGATGAAAGATATAATAATTATTTTTAAAAAAAATATTATTAGAGATATAAATAAAAAAATAATTAATACTTTACAATATAATACTTATTTAAGAATTTTTTTTTTCAAACACAACACATGATATAGGATGAATGAAATATGGATTATACATTTGTTTATAACTCTAGTGACATACTAATACAATATTAATTGCCATGACTTCCATAAAATAAAAGCAATGTATATTGAATTTGTAATGAATGTGGAGAACATGATTATATCATTACTCTCTTGATCTTATAATGATTTTAATTTTAACATTTATAAAATATTTTAAAATAAATGATTTCTTACTTTCTAATTTAGTATTAATTATATTTTTTAATTTTTTCTTTCATAAATAATTATATTACTATAATAAAAACTAATGTATTTATTAAAAGGTTAGAATATTTTTTAAAAATTATATAAAAATAATCATACATTTATTATTATGTTTGATTTAGTAAAAAGTTCAAGGATTCAACAAGAGTTTGCAATAGAATAACATGATACCATTGAAAACTGTTTGAATGAAGCTGCATCCGTGACCAATAGATAATTCGTTGGTTGAATGCCTTTGCACTGCACCTTCCTTCCATGATGTCGATTGGGTAATGCGTTCGTGACTAGAGAGAAAAGGAATCTTTCCATCTAAGTCTAAGTTATTCTTTGAACCGTCAAAACTTGAAAATATAAAACTTGGTCCACGTAGAATTGAATCATATTTTGGATTTGCAGCAAGTGTGTAAGAATCTGTAGTCTCTCTAACGGAGAAAAACAATAAGAGAAGAATCAGAATTCAGGTTACTAGTTAGCAGAGAGAGAGCAATAAACTAGATAACAAACTTCTAGCAAAGCTTAAAATGAATCTTATAACAAAGAAATTATGCCGAGAATTTGCTTTAAAAAGGTGGAGTCATTTAAAATTAAAAAGACGTAGGTTTTAAAATCAAAACATTGTATAAACTAGAAAGACCTCGATAACAAAAATATATTTCAGATCATGATTAAAGGCAAGTAAACAAAGCAAAAACTCAATAATTAAAAGAAGAAAGAAAGTAGCAAAACAAAAAGTCAAATAGAAATATCAGAAGAAGCGTAAAAGTTTTCAGATCTAATAAAGAAATGGTAGATCGAGTAGAAGAGTGTACTTGTAACTTTGAGGCCATTGGTGAGAAGTGAAAGAGTGACGGTCATTTTCCTCTTCGTCACTGCTACTCTCACTCTCTAACTTGGAAGTTTCAACATCGTGTTGTTCACCTTCGTTGACATCATCCTCAAAGAAAAACTCAAGGTCTTTCTCCTTGTTACTGCTGTTAGTGTTACACACCATTGTTGAAACTAGCTACTACACCAAGCAATATCTCAAACGGAAGAGTAAGAACTCTTTTCCAACGCTGAAGATCTAACGCAAAGCACGCATATATAACGACAAAGTTGGGAAATGCTACCATGACCTAAGAAAGTGACAACGCCTCATCCAGCACTTGCCAGAACACTATTAATTTTGTTTAGTCTTAGGATATAAATATGTATAAATAGCTCGTCGGTATTAAAAGTGTTGGACTCGAATCAGTTAAGTAAAGTTTTCGGTTACAATTTTGTTTATGAAAAAAAATATATAATTACATAATAAATAATTAATTAAAAATACTTAATAATTAAATTGTTGCTGAAACACAGCTGTCCTTGTATTTCCATACGTAATTTTAATTTGAGAAAAAGGAAATCGTATAAATAAGCAATTTTGTTATCATAATTGAAAAGATTCCTTGTGCATAGATGATGCAAAAATTATAATAGTTAAAAGAAGAGAAGGATATAGAATGACTGAAGGTGGCAAAAGAGTGGAAACACGAGAGGAGTACTGTGTGAACTGGGAAGCGAGAAGTCTCTGCTGTTCTGTCAACACACGTTTATCTTACATTTTAACGCAGAAGCAAGCTGAGGAACCTTCACATAGACGCATGGTTTTAAATTGCGGTTGCGGTCGCGGTTGTAGTTACTGCGGTTGCGGATATTGCGGGTATTGCGATGCGGATTGCGGCTGTTGCGGTGTGAAATTATTAATTATTTTCACTAAATATAAAAAATTTATAATTATCAATATATATTTTATTTTTAAGGATTTATACATTTTAATTCCTTTTTTTTTAAAATATTCTATTATTTTAATGAATAATTTAATTTATTTTAAAATTATAGTATCAATTTATCGTATTGCGGATGTATTGCGGTACATTGCAGATGTGTTGCAGATGCAACACCGTTACGTTACGGAAAAATGTGTGATTTCCAGTATCATCGCAATTGCGGTCCGATGCCGTTGCGGACAAGGCCGCAACAGTAATATTGCGGCCGCAACACGTGTTGCCGTCCGCAATTTAAAACCATGATAGACGCATCTCGCAATTCACAAAAACGTGCAACAAATGCAATGCATCTACCGAAGTTTCATAAGTTTTTTATGTATATTATTAGGAGCCCAGAGGCCAAACCAGAAAAACTACAATTAACTACCGGCAGTGAAAAGGTGCCAGCACTATTAGCTGAAAGTTTTTATTAAATTGCTACCATTTAATATTTCAAAATTTACTTTTTCTAAAACTCTATTTAGTAAAAGTATTAAGAGATTTTAAGATAAAATATTAAATATTGTAATATTTCAATAAAATATTAATAAGTTAAATATAAAAAAAAATCTATTAATATGTCCATAGAAATTAAATATATATAATAAGGTCAAAGCATAAAATATTAATAAGTTTAGGTATATATTTTAAAAAAATAGACTTTTAATTATAAAAAAAGGAATAAGTGTTAATTATTATTTGTACTTTAAATTCAAATGCTTTATACGCACCGTCTAATGTCTATCCCTTTTTATGAAAATTTTATTAATTTTTAAGACGTAATCTACTTTATTATTTTATTATAAAAAATTATACTTTCTAACGATATATATATATATATATATATATTTGTAATCTTCTTAATACGTAATTAAAAATAAAATACATTAAATATATATCCTCAAAACATAAGAAAATATTCAATACTTTCTTATTTAATAATTAAAATTTAGAATTGTTCTTTTACGGTGAAAGAAGATCAATTATTTTTATGTTGAATTCAATTTTTTTTATCTATTAATTAATTTTAATTGATATATATATATATATATATATATATATATATATATATATAGATATAAGATATATATATATATATATATAAAGTTATAAGGACATATTTTAAAACTAATTAGGCCTATTTTCTTAAAACATCCTTTTAATTGCTGTAAAAAAAAAATTCTTTTTTAATGATATTCTTTATATTAACCATGGAGAAAGATCCACATAAGAGAGTTGAATATTGTGTCGAAAACTTACACATTTGTGCTCTAAAAATAAAATAACTTATCAGACAAAGTATTGGAGAATAGTTATATGAAATACTGAGATTTTTATATTGATTCATTTTAACTACCGAGTCTACGTTCAGTTTTCAATCCAATTAGATTGAGTTTCACTAACTTTCGACAAAGTTACAAGTATTCTTACAGTAAATCATTTTTGACTCAATTCTTAATAGTATTTGACTTGTCTCTTCAAGTTACTACCTAAGTATTCTTTAAATAATAAATCTTTTCAGGCTTAACTTTAAGTATTCTTTCAACAAGTCTCTCCAAATTCAATCATTAAATATTTTTTTTAAATAAGTCTCTTTAAGTTTAATCACTAAGTATTTTTTCAAAAAAGTATCTAATTTAACAACTACTTATCATCATCTCTTTAGAAAATAAACATAACAGAAGTAATGTCGGCACAAAGCAATTGAAGTCGGTTGAAAGCAAATTATTTGTAGAGTCTTTTTTTTTTGCTTTTTTCATGATTTTCAGGATTTTTTACCTTTTGCTTCTGACAAATAATTTGATTTTTTTTCCTTCTTTAAAAGAGTCAAAGCAAGTGCATAATTTTTGCGTTGTCGATCGCTTGAGACACAAATTTATATTTCTTGAACTAAGGTATACGGATTCACATAGGTAGCAGTGGGGGCAGAGATGTCCCACTAATTTTTATTATTATTTATAACTATTATTAGATATATTAATTATAATCATAATCTATGCTAATAATTTAACATGTGATAAAAAGGTTATAATATAAATATTATCAAGTTAATTTATTCTAGTTTGATTATTGTTAGTTTCTCAATTAATATTTTTAATATGAATTTTACACATTATTTTTTTGCAGCAAATTAAAAAAAAATCTTTCAATTATGTCAAATTACATTTATTTTATTTTAATATATAAATAATTTTTCTAATTATCTAACATTTCAATTTACTATATTTTTACTTGAATTTCAATTTATTTTCCTGAAATTTTTAGTAATTAAAATAATTTTACATCAAAACTTAAATTGTTGATTATAAATTCAAAATTAAACTTATGCATTTCAATATATATTTTTATTTATTATGAAATATATCTATATAAACTTCTTTTAACATATATATTACATAAGTAAAATATTAAAAAAAAACTTAAAATTTGTGGATCTTGGGCATAATAAGAGAGTTTTAAGTTTTAACAGGTCTAACCTCTTTATTTTTGTCGTGTTGAGATTTTTTTATAGTGGTGAAGTGGCGATGCATGGACATACATGAGACATGTGCGTGGAAACTAGTCTAGGCTGCATTTTACAAAATAAATGAATTACGTACATTACGGCATTACGCACTCTCCTGCGCCCTTCCCCACTGCCTACATTCTGCTCCCTTGACCTAATATCTAACTTCTCTCTACACTCTACACTCTACACTCTAGGCCCATCATCCATCAATCGAGTTTTTTTAAAATTCAATTCCAATCAAACAGATCTAATCAATTAACTAATCCATTTTTTATATATTAAACAGATAAATTCTTCAAAATAATGCTATTACACGTTTCAGTTTAATTATTTTTATATTTATAAAAGCTTCAAATAAGAAAACAGATTACTTTTCCTGATTGATATATATGATCAGAGGTTTGGGGTTTATCGGAGTTCTTGGACGTTGTACAAAGTGCATGGGTGGCCGTGGTTTAGTTACAGGATTCTTCACTCATGTTGCCTAACAGAGTCATTTCTTAATATTAATGTCATGATTATCAAAATATTAATAATAATAATAAACAATTAATTTGTTTCCAAAATATTTAATGTGCCTTCTTTTTTAAGGATTCAAATCTTCTTTTTAAGGATTCAGATCTTCAACACATTTTAAAAAACTGCACAGATCTCAGTCATTCTTTTAATTTAAATAATTTTAATACAAAGGAAAGAGACAAACTCATATTATCGGTGAGATTCAGAACTGCACAGGGTGCAGTTAAATTTCAAACGGTAGCTGATCCTAGTCCCTTTTTTAAATACTTCCTAGATAATAAAATTTTATAAGCATATATTTAAGGAGTATATTGTATCGAGGAAAGACAATTTTAATATGAAAAATTTAACGAATTTTAAATTTTTTTTTAAGAATGTCATTACTTTTAATTAGAATTTTTTTTTAAAAAAAATTTAAAATTTAGACTTTAATCAAGACTTTGTAATTCAAATTTTAATAGATCTTGATGGATTTATATTATAAGATTTTAAAAGACTTTATAGACTTATTCATAAGAAAATATAGATTTGCACTACAAGATTTAATAAAAAAAAATATAACATAAATAATAAAGAAAAGTAAAACTAACACAATTTTTTAATTTTTTGATAAATAATTTACTTTAATGTTTTTCTAACTAACATTTCTTCTTATATCTACTTAAATTATGTTAATCTTACATGCATTTTGACATATTTTCTTTTATATACTTGAAATTGATTAATATGTTTAAAATTATGATATTCATTAACTGGTAGCATTAATGATGAAGATTCTTCCACTAATTCAATTAAAAATTCATCAAAACGACATTTTTTATATATACAGTTATGTAGTGTTACATGCTGAAACAAATTTAGCTTGTGTCTTAAATAAAAATAGATATTCTAACTTAAAAGTTGTGAAACATGATTTAAAAATACCGCATATCCTCTCAATCACATTTCTTAAGAATGTATATTGTAAATTGAAAACTTCATTTTCATTTTCATTTTCATTTTGAGAGTTAATAAATATTTCAATATTAAATTTTATTAAAAACAAACAGTTAAATTTAATAATTTAAAAATCCAACAATAGATAATATTTAATAATATAAAAATAACTTTAAATATATAATTATTAAAAAATAAATATTGATAAATTATACATCAATTGATAGATAAAAAAAAGATAGGAGGAGATAAATGAATAAAAAGAGAAAGAGAAAAAGAGATAAAGAAGAAAGAGAAAGAGAAGCTAGAGAAAGCTAGAGAGAATCAAAGAGAAAATTGAATATGCAACAAAGAAGAAGAGGTAAAATGAGAGATGAATAACATGAAAAT